CAAGAAATCTTTTTATTTTACAGGCGCGATGGAATTTAGCGGTCTCCCTCGCAATATTATAGCAAAGGAATCTTTTATTGAATTTTCAAGGGCCACGAAAGACTTTCCCTCAATTATTAGATGTTTTCGCGTAGATGTACATCTCTTTTTATTGATGTCGGCCATGCAACAGTTTTTCTTAGTGCTTTTTACCCTTTAGACTTTTTGTATCTTTTAATTAAGTATTTTAATAACAGGACCCCCATTGATACCAGTGCTTAGTACACTGAAGGGGTTATCCTGTATAAATATTATTATTATGGCAGTTAAAACGTCTGGATGCCAGAACCTATATACACGAAAGCTGGGCGTCTAGGACGTGGCCAGCTAACATGTTTAGAATTATTATTATTATTATTATTATTATTATTATTATTATCATCATCATCATTATTATTATTATTATTATTATTACACGTAACTTTTTAATTTCTATCTCTGTTTCTCCACTAGTTGTATCAAAAATGAATGCCTTCCACTGGCTTCAAGTGCTCGTGATCACAATTATCCATTTCATAAATAAACATTCATGTGTAGTGAAGTTTTATTAAATCCTTAACCTGATAACAGAAGAGATTTTCAAAAATTGAGGATTCCTGACTCGCAGACTTGAGATTTTTAAGTCTTTTTTTTGGGTGCTATTTCTGAATTAATGCGGTGAAGAGGGAGAAGGGTGACTTGTATTTAGGAGATCTCCAGTGTACATATTTGTCGATATCTGCCACTTTCCACGACAATGGGAACGTAGTTTCAAACATCCACATGTGGTACGATGAAACTAAGTTTCTAGAGCCACTTAATATCTCCCCATCAGGTCCAGTAATAAAAAATCTGAAAAATACCAACACAAAGAAAAAATTACTGCTTAACACCAACAGATTTCTTGCCCCACAAAGAAAAAAAGGAAAACCTGTGTCAAAATTTTGATTCAAGTGACATTTTTTTTGCCCAGTGACAGATCAAGTAAAGCAGAGAAAAAACACCATTGTAGAGGACCTTGGGGAAAATCATCAATTTTGAGAGGGGAATGGGCTTTTCGAGGCTTAAAAACAGCAATACATAGCTTTGATCCAGCTGTGATGCAGAAGCATTTCTGCTAGAAAATTAATTAACTTACGTTTCCTTTGCTTGAAACTTGAGAAACAATTGGATTCTAGGATGACGTTCAAATGCCTCTAAGATAAGCCTTATGACTCTGAGTAAATCTGGCGTAAATAATGCTGTGGGAAAGAAGAAATCACACAAAAAAAAAAACACTCTTAACGTCTTCAAGTGGTTGCTCAAATGCATCTCGAGGCCCTATTGGGGGTTAGTGATGGAATATGACTTAGTAATGTTGCAATTCAATTGGCCAACTTGCCACTTTGACACGTGTGACTCAACGACGCTGCCCGCTTAAACGTGTCACGCAATGTGTCACGCTCTGTAAGATTCATATTATTTGAGATGAATATTGTGTCAAAAAACAAATTGACAGTGGTTTTAGGAACAATATTCATCACCACAGACGTCAAAATGTTGTGGACTCATGAGGCACAGAATCCAAGATATTAAAAGAGTAAATGGAAGATAAATGCCAGTGTCTCCGCAACTGCACACCTAACCCCTCCCCTCACCAAACAACAGCCGACTCATGTTGGTTGGGGGAGGGGTGGGTGCAAAGTTGCCCAGATACTGACATTGATGCAATATGGACGAGATATAGTATAGTCAAATCATCGAACATCAAAGTCTACCCCGGCCTTTCAAAAAAATTAAATAATTCATTTATCAATCTGGAGAAACAAAACGCGAAGTAAAAAAAATACTTGCAAATGTCATTATCTGTTGTTTTCCAACAAACGTTCACAAAGTAATTTTTCACTGGCTGAGTGGAACAAAGTAAGTTAAAAAATGTTTTTCTCGCACGCCGCTGGGGCCTGGGTATAGGTCATGTGACCTATGGGGCGGGCAGTTGTTTTTGTTGCGTCCGCCATTGCCGACTTTATTGCGTTGTTCCGACAAAAATCCACTCACTAGTTAGGTCAGTTTATGTTTTTACTACTTGCAACCCGATGCCAAAAGAGACACAACGTTCGGGTACGAGTTCTCGAGCTCTCAGACGTCTGGAACCGTATAATGCAAGCCCAGGCGATCGTAAGCGATCTCGCCGGTCGAGACACGGTAGTGCTGACTCATTTCGTGAGCAAGTGCAGACAACACAGGAACCCCCGAGTTGGGCGAAGGAATTGCTCGAACAACAGTAGCAATATAGTACGGAGTTGAAGAAGGTCAAGAAGGATCTGGAGGCCGCTAAACGTTCGAAGCAGGAAAAGCCAAACGAGTCAGAACCAGAGTTCAAGTACGAAGGGAACAAGAAACAGTGCAAGCTAAACCGCGACGTGTTGGACAAAATCTGCTCGGCTATGGCCACTAGCGACGACGAGGAAAGGAACAACCTGCTCCAAGAAGGTGAGGCTTTGCTTGTAGAACGGAACAAACACATTTGCCTGGCTGGTAAATATGGTTGGGATACTGTCGAATGCTATACGGTCGAGCCGCTTGCAAGCGACTCCGGCAATGAAAAACGCATTAAAAAAGCGATTAAAGAAAGTAAACAGTTACGGGAGGAAAAGCGAAAATCAGCAGCAACGAAGTGGAAAGCTAGGAAATCTGTCCAGCAAGACGAAAGGTCGAGGCGCGTAGTTCAAGAAAAGCCTCGGCGGTCACTTTCGGCGGGAAAGTCTTCCAGCAACTTGTCACGTGACTCGCAGCAAGCGAGCAGTCACTTTCGGCGGGAAAGTCACGTGACTCGCAGCCTCGACAGTCACTTTCGGCGGGAAAGTCTTCCAGCAACTTGTCACGTGACTCGCAGCAAGTTTGTTTTCGTTGCTTCCGAAGCGGCTATTTCGCCCGTGAA